ATCAAACAACAAGATCTGCCTATCCCAGGTCCTTGGGAAGGACTCGATAGGTGGATAAAAATGCCAAATCCAGTCTAAACATGTGGCTTATTGTGCAACCAGCCATAATAATAACCCTAAGCATTATTTTGCTAGCACATGAAGAATAGCCATAATATATTGAAACATCAATCAAGATTCCTTGGGACCCAAGCCATAGCATGGAGAAGTAGATGAATATAGATGTATACATATAGGCCAACCTTATGGCCTGTATGGATACCATTTTAAAGCTGGAAATGTACTTAGCAGCAAGCAATATCACTTTTCAAATATAAAATATATTTCCCTTATCTTGCTAGCCTTCTCCAATCTGAAGCTGTATGATTATGTTGAGCTTCAAATTAAAGAATCCTCAATTTTTCAAGTTGTGGATGACTGGCCTATGCCAGCAGTAATTTCTCTTATATCAAGAGCAGTTAATAATGTTTAAACTACTAACATACATTTATTATCAGTTTTCAGTAAATGACTTAAAAAAGAACAAACTGATGTTTCATAGTTTACTGGCTCATCAATAGTGTGGCTATTAAAAAAACCCTGTGTTTTACCTTCAGGTAAGAGGCAGTCTATGAATTTAAATAATTTTATTTAATAATTTAAGTAGAGTTTTTAAAGATTCCTACCTTAAATGAACTGGGATAAGGATCAATGTAGTTTATGGCAGTCCAACTCCTGGAATGGGGATTCCCCAGAAACTCTACATGATGACTTTCAACATTCCCATTTAAATCATGTATCACATACTGTCCATCAACAGGGTCAGGAGAAAGAATGCCAGGCCATCTTAAAACAAAATGTTTTCAAAAATAAGTTCAGAGAAAGATAAAACACCTAAGTCTGTTCTATATCTAGAAAGAAATGTATCTGGAGACATGTCAGCAACAGAGAGTTACTTAAGAATCAGCAGAGCAATTGTAAGTGAGAGAAAGAAGCAGGCAGAAGGAAGAAGGAAGTGAGCAATAGACAATCCTGTACTAATAAAGCCTTGCTAAGAATGGGAGATGAGTAGGTTTTTCAGAATATAAAGTCATTGTTTCAAATATATACCTTCATGCTGAAACCAATTGGGAGGGCTAACTACTTCTCAGCACTGGAGTCAATGGATCCAAGAACCCTCTAACCCACCTCTTATACTTTGTAGAATGCTCCACTTTCATGGGCATACCAAAGGCTTCTGTGATTGATGTCCTTTGGTACTCTCTGAATTACTTCCACCCTATGAATCTGCATATTAAGATTGTGCTGTTAATTTGACCTCTTGACATGGATCCCAAAAAGTTATTACTTCCCATGTTTTTTGCACAGATTTAGAGGTATCGTCTGGGTTTATCAAAAATTATTTTTGTTTCTCAACCACAATTCTTTTTCATAAAGATATTGTTCTGACATAATTTGGTTTATCCTTAGAAAGTGTCAGAGAACTGTAATGGAAGCTAAATAGAAAATCATTATGCCCCCTAAAGTTTAAGAACAGAAATATCTGTTATCTCTATCACAACAATGCTTTTTAAAGTTGCAATCAACCTAAATTATCTGTAATTAAATTTTAACTTCTTAAAACATTACCTTGGCCATGTTTTCATTTTTGCCAAAACTAAGCTTCCTAATGGAAGCTTTGAATAAACATATTTTAATCCATGTTTTCGAAATTGAGACTCCTCAGGAAAATATTCTTCAGCAACAGAACATTTATTAAACCGTGGATCAACATTCATATAACAGTACCATGGTGTACTAGAATCAATATTTTTTACATCATCTTGCTGTAACAGTCTCCATTTTAAACAGCTCCTGTTCTCACATTGTACCCACACTTCACCTACATAAAAATTATTTTCTTTTACAGAATCCATATAACAGTCTTCATTCTTCTAGATTGTAGAATACTTGTTCCCTCTGAAACATAAAGGACAGTATTAAATACAGATCAAGACATTAGTTCCCATGAAAATTATGTTTCCATGAAAACTCTGTTAATAATAATAAAGCACTAGCTGCTCTCAAAAGTGATAGTTAACTCTTGCAGCTTGAGAAAAAGAATAATGGCTATGTGGGTAGAAATTATACTTAACTAGGAAAACATATATACTGTTATATGCAAAACATTGCAAAACTATGCATAGTAAAACTATGCACACTTAAAGCATTATTAAGAAAAAAATCTCCTGGGAGCACAGCACCTCTCTGCTATTCATTAAAGTAGTCACATATTTTATTTTAGGTTTTCACCAAGCCTGAAAAAAGGCACTGCTGCTTTAATTAATTAGATCATTAAGGCAGCATATTTTAATCCAACTTTTAAAGCTTCTGCCTCTTTTTTCTGGCTTGTACCGAACTCTGAAGAAAGATGTGTGCTTTTATGAATAGCAGAGTGTTTCTATAATTATGCTTGCATGAACTTTCCTTCCTAATCAATTCTGAAGCTTATATAGCCCTAATAAACAGATCCTTAATATGTGGCCCAAAGCAGGCAAAATGGAGTTCTGAGGAGGCAGCTGACACATGAGATATTCAGCATAATTGTAAAGTAGTTGTTATACAGGGTCAGCAAAAATCCTACCCAAGACAGGATGGCTGGCATAGATTGACAATACAGGCTTGTTAATAAAGGCAGGTTTGATGATGGAGAAGATTCTGAGACAATAAGGGTTATCATCACATTAGTATTTAGTGCAGCATTTCAACAGCCCTTTAAAGATTGGAATGAACACAAATAATTTTTGCTATTCAAGCTGGATCTAAGGGCATCTCCATATTATCATGGTTTTCTTATCAACTGAATCCCTCAAAATGGTTTAACAAGACCCATCATAATCTTAACAGTCAAAAACAATGAAGACAATAAATAAAATTCACCATCCTGTCCTGAGCTGTTGCAAGTTGTGTAGTGAGAAAAATCCTCACACAAGGGAACAAAAGGAAAAGAAATTTAAAAACCAAGAATATTGGAGTTTTAACTGACTCACCTCCTGTAGGAGAAAAAGGAGAAATGTACAGAATCTTGTCAATTTGATACCTGCTGTCTTGGCTGGGTTTCTTAGGAGGAACTGTCAAGAAGTGAAGCCAATATTCCCCTTGCTAGGGTGGCTGATTCTCAGAGACTGGGAGGAAAAGATTAGGTAACAGTTCTTTCTAATGAGAAAAAGGCCCAGTAAATTGGCTCTACTGCTAAAGAGATGACCAAGTAGGTGCAAAGTCAATTCAGGAATGGTGCAGACACTTCCTGTGGAGCAACCTCAGGTTGCCAGGCTGCAACCTATAGGTTTAGCTTAATGATACCTGCTTCCTACTGTTTCTTCCCTAATATGTTAGCTACATACTAGACACTATTTCACAATTACAGCAGATTTTCTAGGTTGCTGTAAAGATAATGCAAACAAAACACGTGCAGTCTAAGTATGTCTGTTGGTCCTTATACCAACCATTAAAGATAAAGATGCTCTCAAACTGAGCCTGACTTTATTGACACATCCACATAGTTTTCTTGACAGTAATATGGAAGTACTTTGTCACTGCCTTTTTGGGGGATTTTTTTAAAAAAAATTCCAATCTAGTTTACAACCCTAGAATTCCTTGGTAATCTCCCATCCAAGTAGTAACCAGGCCCAACCCCATTTGGTTTTGGGGGGATCAGCCAAGGTCTGCTGCATACTGGTACCTTTTATGGCAAATGTTAGGAAAAAAGCAGTCCAGATCTTTCTTAGCTTTGCTATCATTTGCTGAGGATAGTTAAATTAACAACATCACAGGCATCTGTATGTAGGTCAAAGAAGTCAAGATGGCAGCTGCAACCACCCAAAGCCCTGCCCCTTTTCACATGCACAACCTAGTTGTGGACCTTCAATCTTGCTATTTCACCCACAATCTTGATTTGTTTAGCTTCCTGCAGATGCCCCTGGATAATATCATATAATATTGTCATTTATTTATTAATCAAATTTATAGGTCACCCCACTCATGGTGACTCTAAGCATAAGATAGCAAATTTTACAAATGCCACCATAATACTTGGATTTTGGGAGAAAAGACCCAGTACACAAATGGCTAAAAATCTAATAAAATAACATCACTGTTTCTTTATTTCTATGTATAATTTTCTGAGCTGACAATTCATTTGCAAGTTTGAGATCCTAATAATATTTTTGTTTGCTAACTTTACATTTTGGCCAAGAACAGAGATCTTTGGTCTAAAATATTGTGGTTCATTGGAGTGTGATTATTTTTTCTTATTGTCTTCTCCTCCTTTTCCAAATAAAATGCTGAAGAGGATATATCTTGGTTTGTTAAGCCAATTGTCTCATAATATATAAAGAAAAAGAATTAAAATATTAGAGAACTACTTAAATCACATGTAAATTAGAGTGAGTTGTATGAAAGAGGATGAAAACAAAGAAGTAATATGATGTTTGAGTTTGCCACTAGCATTTACTACATAGAAATTTTATTTTAGGGTAAAGTCAACATGGCTCATTTCTGTAAGATTATAGGTAACTCAAATTGAGTAGAAAGAAGTAAGTGGAGATAAGATGGCACTTTTACTATATTAGTAGTAACTCAGCAGCTTTCCAACAAAATTACATGTACATACTTTAATTATTTTAATGAGACCCTTAAGTATGTCCCACTGAAATGAACAATGGGACTACTGTACAAAATTTCTCTTTAAGGTGTTTTGACCTTGGATTAATTACTGCAATTAGTATTAGCGTCTGTAGGCTGTGATGAAAGAATGACATATATATATATGTATACACATACATACATGCACATACATGTATGTCATTCTTATATATATGTGTGGGTATGTTATTCTTATGTGTGTGTGTAATATATATACATATACAAAATGTAAATACATATTGCTTTATATGTTAGAAACTGCCTCAGGAAGATTTAATTCTAAAATGCAGCCTACATAATATATTAAGTAAATTGACCATCTTTGCCCACATGCAGTTTTCTATACTTTAACATCTTCAGCAGAAGCCCTTCTGCAACTGCCTTCTCAATTGGAAGTGTTTGATATTACTTCAGTTATGAAATGTTTTCCCAGTCATGTTAAGGTTTATCTTTGTAACATTTTAATTCCATCTATACAGAGAAACTGACTTCTATTATTGTAGCCAGGTACAATGGCTCTTATGTAGAAGTTGTACTGATAGCAATTTTAAACCAATACCTTATAGGCTAACAAAATAGTTGCAATCTTTCAAGTGTCCAAGTGCTTTGAAAATATTTTATAGAACTTTTAATAATGGTATAACCTCAGTATGAAATTTGGTTTTTTCCTCTTTCACCGTCAATTCAGTTGCACCTGTTTTTTAGATTAATCGATGTGATTATAGCTATTGCAGCCCTTTTTCATGTATTCATGATGGCGCTTCATCTGATTGGTTTCATTTTGATTTTTTGTTCATTGCATTGAGGATACTGTTATTACACTACTGTACAATTCATACATATGATACGAACAAATAGATCAGCGGCTATTTCAAAGCGGGAAAACGGAATCGATGGGCAGCAGCTTTTTCTCCTCTGAGGGGGAGTAAAAACGTACGATGTGAGGTAGCTCCGTACCACTCTGCCAAATCTGCCGGCACGGACGGACTACAGTTCCCTTCTCTCCTTCTTCCCCGCACTGTACACCGGGAACAGAATTGCACGAGGAGAGAATTGCCGGGGCGGGTCTCGATTCTACAGCTACCGCGAAATCAGTGATGAGACTACGAATCCCGGCATGCCTCGCTGCTGGTGGCCATTTCCCCCGCTGAGGTGGGAGGGTATTGCCGGTACACGTTACCGTCACATGATATGATGGAAGGTAGAGGAGCTTCCTGGTGAGTCTGAGGGAGGACGAAAGAGAAAGAAAGAGATCACGCGGCTGCGAGGGGCTCGTGTTCAGTTACAGCCACTCCTGGGCTGCGAGGAGAAGATGTGGAGTCTGAGCCAAAGTGGCCTCCCTTTCCTGATTCCCTCCGCAGCGGCCCTGTCGTCTTAACTGGTGCGAACGGAGACGAAAGGGGCCCGCCCACTTCTGCCGCGAGCTTGCTGGCCGCAGGTAACCTTTGATTCCGCAGCACGTTTCCTCCTGGTTGATAGCGTCCCTTCCCCGCCCCACCCATCTAGGGGCGTCCATCAAGTTCCCAGGGAAAACGTCCCTGTGCCTCCCCCTGCAGGGTCGCGTGGCCTATTTCTCACAGGCAAGATAGTGGCCCCAAGTCTCGATGGGGGAACTCAGCGCAGGCCAGTGCTTCGTTTACTTAGTAGCTGTGTTCCCACCACTAGTTATTGAATTAACCCACTGATTGGTTTTGCAGAATTTATTCAACCACAAACTGACCAAGAGGTCCATGTGTGCACAAGGTACAGCCAAGGTCAATGCAACCAACCTTGGCATTTTGTCCAAATGCCTCTGTTGGATCTTTACCTAATCTACTTAAACATATTATGTGAACTGAGTCTTGCTGTGTTTTAGCAAGTCTTGCTGAGATGTAGGTATGTGTAGGTTTGCATTTTTCCTTTATGGGGAAAACAACTGCCCGACTCTAATATGTGATTTTTCAGAAATGAGGGAATTGTTTTGTCTGGGCAATTATTCAGTTACACAAACTACTAAGGGCCAAGAACATATTCCTTTTTCCTACTTTGTTTTTGAGAATTCTGCTTTTGTAAAACTTTATTTATTTATAAATCACATTTATTCCTGCCTAGAGTTATGAGTTGAGCAGTCTATAAATGTGATTTATAAATAAACTTTCCCTAGAAACATCTCTGTGAACACCCAGAACTTTCAGTTTTGAAACAGTGTGCAGAGGTGACAAGTACCCTTGTCCTTGCATATATTTGGAACTCATGTGAATTGGATTGTTAATGAAAGAATGAAGAGAAATCAAGCAAAATGAACAAAATATTAACTGACAACATTTCATATGAAGGAAGGACACTATTCATACATGGAAGTTATCAGGGATAATCAGACCAGATAACATATCATCTTGTATTCTTTCTAAAACATGACCAATAGCAATGCACATTTCAAATGAAGGATGCAAAAAACTGTCAGTGCTATTCATGAATGGGTATGGTTAAGCTTTGCAGAATAAATTGTAGGTTGAGATAATTACTCAGTTTGGAATACAGGTAGTCCTCCTTTAGTGACTGCCTTGTTTAGTGACTGCAGTTACGACAGTGATGAAACAATAATTTTATGACCAATCCTCACATTTACAACCTTCGCAGGTCTGTAAAGCAAAGGAAAGCTGATCTTAAACACAGTTGCGCCTTCACTTAGTAACCACTTCACTTAATGACTGAGTTGCCAGTCCCAATTGTGGTTGCTAAATGAGGACTGCCTGCATTCGACAAAAAGGAATGGGCAAGATTTTCTGCCTTTTCACTTTGGGTATGAAGGAAACTAGAATAAGTGAGAATATGTGGTAAGCAAGAGTGGAACTGAAAGCTAGAGGTGTGGGATACCCAAGGCTTGATTTTAAGGAGTGGCTGCCTCACAGTAAGTATATCACCTAAATGCTTATGTTATTGAACATATGTGTTATTCTGAGATTTGTTCTTTTAATGAGTTAAGACAATTGACTCCTGCCCATCCCAAATTACTTTTTAAATATTTCAATCCAGTTTTGGTTCTTTTAAGTTCCACTGTCACTGGGAGTCACTGGGATGGTTTTCAAGTTTGTGTATTCCACATGCTCATCTATGTCTCTTCCTTTGGTTTCTGACAACAGAATTAGAAACCAAAATGGCAGCCCCTTCTCACTGAAAGCTGGAATAACTTTAAAAATAATTAATGTGTTGTATTCGTTCAAAAAGGTCTGAGGCTAGAGAGAATGGAAAAGCTTAGATTAAGGTTAGATTAGGCAATTAGAATTAGATGAACATATCCAAGATTTGGCTTACATCCTGGTACTACATAAAGATAAATTCTTAAGAAAGCGTGATTAGTAGAAAGTTGTAGCAAGTTTACATCTTTCTGTAAAATTTTGAAGATGCCTGTCCTCTGCCCTCCCCAACACGGTGTCTGGCCCTCCTGTCACAGTGCAAGTTTAAATGTTTCATTATGTAGAATCCTCTTTCTAAAAAAATATATATATTTTCAAACACTTTCTTTGACTTGTATCTTCTGTCTGAAAGGACCAGTTTTAGGTACCCATAATATTCATTTTTATAAATGGTCTTCACAAAGTCTGAGTCTTCTCCAGCTGTCTCAATTAATTGGGTATTCATGAAAGAAATTAGGTTTCTGAAAGAGTTATACAGTTAATTATGTGGTCATCACCAGAAGAGCCAGTATGATGTAGTGATTAAGGTGTTGGGGTAAGACAGGCACGACTGAAATTCAAGTCTATCTGAACCATGGAAGAGCTTACTGAGTGACTCTGGGCCAGTTGCTTTCTCTTTCAGCCCACCTGTTGTGGAGAAAGGAGTGCTATATAGGCTGCCTTGAACTGCTAGAGGAAGCAAGGATACAAATCAAATAAATAAAACAAGTTATATCAAGGAAATTTCCTTGGCTATTTCTTCTCTGAATGCTAACATTAATATATCTAAAATTTAAGACAAAAAATCATGCTAACTTGCTCAAAGGGAAAAAATGTCAGCAATTATTGTGAATCCCTACTTGAAAGCTTTGGATTAAATGTCATTATCCGATACTCCTGCTAAAGCAGACTGAACTAGCTCCTTTATTATTATTTTTTGTGATGGCACCTTGCCATGAGTCCAAGTTGTGCTGTTCCTTTCCAAATAGCCATCTTTAAGTAGAAATTTTAGGAAAAACATATTTCTGGAAAGTTGCTTAGGTCCAGTTGCATCTGTACTTTAAAAGAATGGCATGTGTGCAGAGAACAGATTTACCTCATTCCATGTGCATATTCTACCCCCTTCCAATGCTTCTCCAGAAGGTTGGGAGACCTGCCAAAGCAGATGGTAGGAAGGTGAGTAGCAGGAAGGGCAGAAGATTAAGAGGAAATCCTGTTGTTCTATGGAAGACAATTCAAATAGGATTGGATATAGCCCAGTATTTTGCCAGAATTGCAAAAATCTAATGGATACCCTATATATATCCATGTTTTAAGTACTTTAAATGTTTTAGATAGATGCTTATTGGATACTAAACAATGCTACATTTTTTTTATTTAGTTATCATGGAAGAATTAGCTGAAGATGATATTGATATCCTGAACCATGAAAAAGCAGACACTCATCAGAGACGAGATGGACAGTTTCCTATTCCAGTGTTTTCAGGAGAGGAATCTGTTGCTTCACATTTTGCCCTTGTCACTGCTTACGAAGATATAAAAAAACGTCTGAAAGAGACAGAAAGGGAAAATTCTCTCTTAAAGAAAAGAGTAAGATTGTTAGAAGAAAAGGCAAGTAATTTTTAGCGACGCAATGTATTTTTTGTTTGAAGGTTGTGGTGTCATTCAATATGATAAATGTTAATAAGTTATGATTTTTTTCAAAACTAGCTGTGTCTTAAGTAATTGGTAGAGTAATTAAGCATATGTGAGACAGTTTGGTTTCAATACTTGGAAGTCATTACCTGACACTATAAAATTCTGTGTTTAAGTTAATTCATTTGGTTTAACATTAAACACTTATTTGAAAGTATTTGAATAATGATTAAACCACATCTTGCTGTAATCTTTTAGCTTCTTGGATCCCATTTGGAAGAAGCAACAAGCTCTGTGGGTCGTGAGCAAGTTAACAAAGCTTATCAAGCCTATCGGGAGGCTTGTATTGAACGAGATAATCTGAAAAGTCAACTGGATAAAGTGGTATGTTTTGGGAGTAGTGTAAAAGAAAATAGGAATGCTGCATGAATTCAGTGTAGAAAAAATACTTTAACATAATGGAGGAATTGAGCTTTAATCACTGAAGGCATGGAATATGATCTAGCAAAAAGTAAACACTAACTTCATGTTCATTTCCATATGTGGGTTTAACATGAATGTGGATCCTTTTTTAAAATCAAAGGAACTAGACTGAGAAATACTTATGTGTGGCTTGGATCATTCCTGGATTTTTAAAGATTTTGAATTTCTGCATACACTGGGATTCATCCAACTCCATTGATATTTTTCTCTTTTTTCAATGACCCCACTTGGCTCCTAATCATTCTGGTATTAAATGCCTGAATTTGCTATTTGAAGAAATGAAAGTGAGATTCACGTAAAAGCATAGCTTGTGGAAGCTCTCCAGTGATTCAGTACAAATGACAATATATTTTTAAAAATTTAGGGGAGTGCAGAAACTTTGCAAGATGAAAAATAGATTGAACAAAAAGCTGGTGATCAATTTGGAAAGCTTGCCAGCTAGCTAAGTTCAGCTTGATGTATTACTTAATATCCACAAGATTTTTCTCCTGCCCTCTAAAAGCAGGACAATATTTTCATAGTGCATAGAGTACTCACAAACCATTTTTTAAACTGGTAGTGCTTTTGAAATAGTAAAAGCATGATAATTTGACCACATCTTTATGAAGAACCAGTTGATCTGTTAGACTCATACTTCAGCTAGAATAATGACAGACAAATTCCTGATAGTTTCTGTATTTTTCAAATTAGATGAAAGAAAACATGGAATCCATGAAAATCTTGAATGAGCAGTTGCAATCTAAAGAAGTGGAACTTTTACAGCTAAGAACAGAAATGGAAACTCAACAAGGTACACTTTGTTTATCTGAGTGTATAGCGGCATCCATGTATGGCAAACACTGTGATCCTTTTTTAAAAGTTAATATATTTAGTTTATGTAACCTGGGGAGCATTATTACGGGTGTGATGAAGTGTGGTGTAGTGTACTGATTAAGATATTGAACTAGGACTGGGGAGACCCAATTTCAAATTTCAGCAATGGAAGCTCACTGGGTGAGTATAACAGGATATAAATCTAACAAATAATAATAACCAAGTATACATCTTACAGCAATTTCATATCATGTGAGAATTTAGTGCAAGACAGTAAGTCTTTCTTTTGTCATAAAAACTTAGGAACATGCCTTTAGCTGGTCTCAGAATAACATCCTAGCTGGTATGTGTCTGTCTCATTGGAGAAAGAATTCTGTAGGCAAGAGCCAATTCCAAGTGGGCCCTTCTTGTAGAGCCACCTATACTTAAAAGAATTGGACTTATTAAGTCTTACTATACACAGGTAGAGATAAGCAGTATTCAGATACTGCATCTCCAAGCTGTTGTGTTTTAAAGATCAAAACAAGGACTTTGAGTTGAGTGCTGAAATAAACTGGGTGATTTTGCAGTTAGTAGAGTACAAACAATATGTTAATCATGAAATGTCCCAGTTCTGCAGCTTTGTAGTTATATTTTGATCTAATTGTAGTTGCTGAACTTTAAAGGCAGACTAACAATTAAATTAGGAGCAATCTAATTCAGTAATGATCTCAGTGTAGCTCACTGAATCCCAGTTCTTTCTCTCCAGATGGATTGAGGCTAGTATATCAGTCTGTGTTTCAAGCTACAGAAGCAACTTAAATCTTTTATGACAGCCATAAGATCAGTGACATCCTAATACTGCAGACTTCTTACTTGAGGTGGGGGTACAGTCTTATCGAGCATAGGATGAAACCATTATCTTGGGCAAATGAGCCACATATTACTGCAGCTTTTTTCTTGGATTGAGATTCTGTATATTGACCATGAGAACTCCATTATCACATCCCTGCATTGCTTAATGCTGCCATAACTTTACATCTATTGTGAAAATGTAGAATTAAGTGATATCCATATATAGATGATAAAACTGTGTGAAATACTTCACCCTGATACATCACATTCCAACCTTGTTGTAGACTATTCTGATGTCTGAACAGGTTGTTTTGATCTTGAAACATTTTGCACTTTTCTAATTGATGACACTTTACCCCAAACTTTTTGATAGCTTCATTCAGAACTTTCATGTTGACATCAGAAACTCAGAAGAGGGCAAAGTGATTTCAGGGAATTAAGTCACTATTTCCCCAGCACCTTCTTCTGAACATGGCTGTCAAAATAAGAATTTAATTATCTAAACACAATACCACCCATACCCAATCTAGAGATCCTGTGCTGAAGAGTACCCTGGTTAATACTATCCAAAGTCACTAAGGGTTCTGGAAATCATTCTTTGTTGTCTTGATTAGGATAGAGTCAATGCCAAACCTTGAACCTTAAGGCTGCTTAAAATGGATGTAGCAATTCTTGTTTATACAATAGTATTTGGAATTTTATAGGAAACTTCTAGTTCAAATACTGTGCCTTAGAAGAAAAACTGACTGATGAAAAGATCTGTAGAAAAAGCTTTTCAGTAGCAATTATATATCTGCCTCTTAAAGTAGATGGGGCTACTCCCCTCTCAAGGAGGCACATATTTTTTTTCTACACATAGCTGTAAAGTCCTTATTGCTTACTGCTGATATATCAACAGACATACATATAATAGTATGCTGACAATACCCAACTTTACATCTTGACTCCTGGCTGAGTAAGTGAAGTTGTCAAAGTACCTGGAGGCTGTTCAGGTCTGGGTAGAGAGAAACAGGTTAAGATAAAATCCCAGCAAGACAGAGTGGCTTTGAGTTTGAAGGCCTATCAATTCTGTGAGATTCCATTGTTAGTGGTAGACAAGTTTGCACTCCCTGAATAATTTGGGGGTCCTCTTGGACTCATAGCCTGCTTGAGGTGCAAGTGGTAGTTGTGGCCTAGAGGACTTTTGCATAACTCCATTTAGTGCCAGTTGTTACCTTTCCTGGAAAGGGAGACATTACTGACTATCCTTCATGCCTTAGTCACTTCTTGATTGGACTATTGCAATGAATTCTACATGAGGCTGTCCTTGAACAATATTCAGAAGCTATAGCTGGTCCGCAGTGCAGCAGCACAACTAGTTATGAGTACACCTTTTGGCACCTGTGTAACACCTCTACTCTGAGAGCTGCACTGGCTGCCAGGTATTACATGGGTGCCACAAGGTGCACCCATAACTAGTTGAGCTGCTGCATTCAAGATTTTGGTCATCACCTTTAAAGCCCTATGTAGTTCAGGACCTGGGTATCTACAGGACTGCCTTCTTCCAGCAATATCTGCCTGTTTGATAAGATCTGGTATGGCAGCATCTTTATGTGTTTCATCAGTTAGAGACTGCCATCTTCATGGGCCATGGAAGCATGGCTTCTCAGTTGGTACCCCTTTCATATGGAATAGTATTCCTCCAACATTCAAATAGCTCCCTCCCTCCAGGAAATTAGTGAAAACCTGGCTGTTTCATCAAGCCATGGGGGTGGTTTGCTATAACTATCACGACTAAGGATAAACTGGTTTTCTTCTGACTATGTCTTTCAGTTTTATGCTATTATAATATATTGTTTTGTTTTACTGGTTTAATCCCAATTATCTATTGGGGAGTTGTATGCTACCAAGAGTTAGTTGGCTCATTGGAACAGCCTATAAGCACTGTAAAAAATAATTAAAATAAAATAGGTGGCCACAATTATCCAGAGGCCTCAATAACTGAAATCCATTCATTAATATTGGATGGCAGTTCTCTTAGATAATTCCACAGACTTGCTGTGTCAGTCTTTTCTTTTTATAAGTCCCAATTAAAAATTAACTGATTGAGATTATTGTTACTGAGAACACATTGATTTTTACATTGTAAAATATATGCATTTTATGTATTTACTGCCATGGTCTAAAGTAATATATTTGGTCTTTTCTGATGTTTTTGAACTGGTAATGTATAGGCAAGCTTGGAAAGAAGATTTCATGTAGTATAAATTATAAATTTATAAATTAATACCAGAGAACATATACAATTATATTTCTGTGTGAAATATTCCTTTGCTGAGGGCTTATTAATATATTCACTTGATCATTTGTAAAGACTTTATACATAACAAAATAGGATTGGATTAAAATTTGTCACTGTACTTACAAGAAATAATGATTTATGAGAAATGAGAGCTTTGACTCTCATCTTCATCATCTGTATTGGACTGTATTTTGATGGAATAAAGATCTTATTTCCTTACAGTGATGAAGAGTTTCAATTCTAACCCTTCTAACTGGGAAATAGACAAACTGAACAATGACCTGAAGGTGCACAGTTTGGAGATGGATTTGGAGAAACTGAGGGAAGAATGTAACAATCTTAGGAAGGAATTGCACACATCTGTAAGGAAGGTACTTCTGAATTATGATTTCTGTTCTGAGGAGGGTACATAAAGGGGTAAAGATAAATGTTGATATGCACAATTTCTGCCTCGAGTTTAATGGAATTAACATGGTTAGATTTTGGAAAACCACATGAATGCTCATTGAGACTTCTAATTTTTTGTTTTTCATTTGATATCATTTCCAGATAGTTTCACAAACAGGCTTTGTATCTTTAGTTCATTTTATTCCTTTAGGTAATAAGTTGGTTACAATCACTGTTATTTTGGCAGGTTTAAATAATGTACTTTAATATGTGGCATGCCACAATATATAAACAGAGAGCAAATCCCATTCCATTCTAGCACTGAAGAA